TCGCCGGAGCCCAGCAGGTTGAGGCTGCGGTGGCTGTGAGTGGCCACTGCACTCCAGTCTAGGCGACAGAGTGAGACTCCAACTCAAAATAAAATAAAATAAAAACTAATAATAATAATTTTTTTAAAAACCAACCAAACCAAACAAAAAAACTCCCAAAACACACACAAAGGGTGGGGAAATGGAAGATGTTGGTGAAAGGGTACAAAGTTTCAGTTATACAGGAGGAATAAGCTTTAGTGATCTATAAACAGCATGGTGACTACAGTTCATAATGCACTATATATTTCAAAACTGCTAAAAGAATAGATTTTATTTTTTATTTTGTTGGAGTTGGAGTCTCACTGTGTTGCCCAGGCTGGAGTCCAGTGGTACACTCAAACACCGCAGCCTTGACCTGCTGGGCTCAGGTGATCCTTCCACCTCAGCCTTCCAAGTAGCTGGAACTAGCTAATTTTTTGATTTATTGTAAAAATGAGGTCTTGCCAAGCTGCCCAGGCTGGTCTCAAATCCGTGGGTTCAGGCAGTCTTCTCACCTTAGCCTCTCAAAGTGCTGGGATTATAGGTGTGAGCCACTGCGCCTGGCCTAGAAGAGTAGATTTTTAAAGTTCTCACCATGAAAAATATGCTAATTAACTTAATTTACTCATTCCACGGTGAACATATACAGTCATATGTCACATAATGACATTTTCAGCCAGTGATGGATTGCATATATGACAACATAAATTACAAAGAAGCTAAACATTTCTATTGTCATAGCCATTATAAAATCAGAGTGCAATTACTTTATTTATTTATTTAGAGTTGGAGTCTCACTCCATCTCAAAGGCTGGGGGGCAGTGGTATGCTCACGGCCATCCCAGTGTTCACCTGTTGGGCTCTGGCGATCCTTCCACCTCAGCCTTCCAAGTAGCTAGAACTACAGGTGCGTCCTACCATGCCCAGCTAAGTTTGGATTTATTGTAGAGACGAGATCTCGCCAAGTTGCCGGGGCTGATCTTGAACCCGTGGGCTCAGGCAATCCATTCGCCTCGGCCTCCCAAAATCCTGGGATTATAGGCTGAGCCACCAAGCCCAGCCAATTACTTTATTTTAAAAAAAAAAACTTAGTGTAACTTAAGTGTGCAGTGCTTATAAAGTCTACAGTAGACTACATTAATATCCTAGACCTTAACGTTTGCCCACCACTTACTCACTGACTCACCCAAACAACTTCCAATCCTGAAAGTTCCCTATACAGGTGCACCATTTTTTATCTTTTATACCTTATTTTTACTATACCTTTTCTAAGGTCAGATATACAAATACCATTGTGTTGCAACTGCTACAGTATTCAGTACAGTAACATGCTGTATCGCCTAGGAGTAACAGGCTATACAGTCTAGGTTTGTGTACATACACTCTGATATTCACAAGATCAAAAATCGCCTAATGACTCATTTTGCAGAATATATTCATTATTAACTGACACATGACTACATACTAAAATATATTATACCCCATAAATATATACAATTATTATTTGTCAATGGAAAAGAAAATAAATATTTAAAAGGTAAAAAATAATCTTTAATAAAATACTAGCAAATTTAATCCAATAAGGCTAGGTGCAGTGGCTCACACCTATAATCCCAGCACTTTGGTAGGCAGAGGCTAGAGGACTACCTGAATCTAGGAGTTTGACACTAGCCTGGGCAACATGGTGAGACCTCATCTCTACAATAAATTTAAAAAATTAGCTGGGTGTGGTGGTGTGCACCTGTAGTTCCAGCTACTTGTAAGACTGAGGTGGAAGGATCACCTGAGCCCAGCAGGTCAAGGCTGTGGTAGACATGATAGTGCCACTGCATTCCAATATGGGTGACAGAGACTCTGGCTCAAAAAAATAAGAAGTTAATCCAACAATATATAAAAAGAATAACACATTACGACCAAGGGAGTTTACCCCCAAAATGCAAGCTGGTTCATATTCAAAGGTCAATATATACAAGTCATTGTATTGATGAACTAAAAAAAAAAAAAAAAAAAAAAAAACCAACATCCCAGTAGACATAGAAAAAGTACTTGGAAAAAGTAAACATGCATTACTGATTAAAAAAAAACAAACTCTCAACAGGCTGGCTGTGGTGGCTCACACCTGTAATCCTAAGCACTTTGAGAAGCCAAGGCAGAATTGCTTGAGTCCAGGAGTTAAAGACCAGCCTAGGCAACATTTGATTCTACAAAAAATTTTTTTTTAAAAATTAGCTGGGCATGGTGGCATTTACCTGTAGTCTGAGCTACTCAAAAAGGCTGAGGGGAAAGAATCACCTGAGCCCAGGAGGTTGAGACTGCGGTGAGCCGTAACTGTATCACTGCACTCCAGCCTGGGCGACAGTGACCATGACTCAAAAACAAAAATAAAACAACACAAAAAACCAAAAAAACCTCTCAACAAACTAGGAATATAGGGGAACTTCCTTAACCTAATAATCTAAGAAACAAAACAAACAAAGCAAAAAACCAAAAACTTCTACTATAACCAACTTAATGGTCAAAGTCTGATGATATTCCCCTGAGATTGGGAATGATGCAAGGATGGCCACTCTTCACCACCTCTATTCAAAATTACTAGAGATCTCAGTCAGT